ATCTGCGGCAATTGGAGATCTCCACCGAGATGTCGGCAATTGGAGGTTCCCCACCGAGATATCGGGAACTAGGGAATGCTGAGAGGTCGCCCTCAGAAGGTGAGAGTGGATTGGGGTATGTGGTGATCCTAATGTCCTTTGCTCGGTTTGGCAGTAAGTGGAAGTCCAGCCGAGAAAGAGGGGTAAATGAACAGGGCAGTTCCAGGCTCTGCACCCCAAAGAGTCTTCGGCAGAGCGAATTTAAATCAAGAGACTGCCCTATTGTAGGAGCAGGTGGACCTATGGCTGGTACAACAAATGTCTTGTTATTTCATTTGTATGACATCTGTTAATATTGCTAATGCCTCTTAATGTGGTGAAATAACTCAGTGGTTACTTGAATAGCCCTTGAAACGTTACAATTAGCACACCAGATTGTTGATACCTGAGTGCTCTGTTTTAGCCAAAGGGTTGGTAGAATACCATAACCCAAATGGGAGGTTGGGTCCAGTGGTGATTGGGAACCCTACTGCTGGCAATCTTAACACCTGTTGCCATGGGCATTCATCTCTGAATCCTGTGTGAGATCAGACAACCCATGAGAATGTAGCAATGGTCACTTAGCAGAAGCAGGATCAGCTGGGCTGCTAGGGAAGCCAAAGAGGTGCATGAGCGAGAAGGTGTCTTCCATGCACTCAGCTGACAAGAATGAATGTGTCACGGGGGTATGGCAGCTGGGGTATGTTATTTAGGGGACTGCTGAAGGAGCAGTGGTTTCTGTCTGCTCCTGGGGTCATGGCAAAGCCACTCCTAAAAGTCCCGAATCTGAAATGGTCACACACCTCTGTTCACCTGAGGGGAAGAGGGTGTGTGGGAAATAGTCTGAGGAACCAACAGTCTCTGGGATACTTGAATCTACCTGTCTTACAGGCTTAAGTTGCTCTCTTGTGTTCCCTAAAAGCCACTATTCTCCTGAGGAGATGCTGTCACTCTCTCCTGAGTACAGGTTCAATAGAGTGCTGGCCAAAGTGAATCTAGGTGCAGGAGAGACCAAAAGGCTGTGTGGTCAGGAGGGTCTTCTGCTTTATAAAAAATTTAGGGGGGAGATGTTGGGAGCAGTGAGACCCCAGATTCTGAATTTCTTGTAATCCCCTTATCTGAGTGCCTACAGCTGCTCTGAGCAATGTGAGACCTTCAGGAGTTCCTGATGGCAGGAGAGGGGTTTCTGGTGGGTTTGGGTGGGGCGTGGCTATCTCTATATAATCTGCCCCTGAACACAATAAGGGGTCATTCTTGGAATTCAAGGATGACCCGTGTCTCTCTGTGTGTGTCTATGTATTTTAACCTCCAGCCCCCTTTCCCGAAGCTCAGTCACTAGGGTCTAGTGCACCGAATGCAGACTTGGGGGCTCGGCGCGTGGCACTGAACTATCCTCGCAGGCTAGTTTGATAATGGTACATCTGGTAAGAATCACCAGCGTACCAGCGGTGCCTCTTCCAGAAAGACATTTTCATTTTATCTAGACGTTTACTCTGGGTCTTATTGCAGAACACAAATTCCCTCAAGCGCTTCCTTCTTGCCGTTGACTTTTTTCCATTATCTTTTCTTATAGCCAGCCTTTCTCCTTAGCCACAGGCCAGAATGAAGTGGAAGGAACCCATGCACAACTGATTTTACTGTCTTTCTCTTGCCTTTCCGTGTGCTGCAGTATGTTAGAGTTCAGACCGGTGGCTTCAGGACACTCGAAACCAAAGTGGCCACTCTCTTAAGGACTGTTGCAGTATGCCCTTACGTCAGGTTTCTGACAGATGTGAGAAGTCTTAGAGCTGAGGAAACAACTGGGGTCTGAATATGTCTAAAATGAATAGTGCACAATGCAGAATTAAGACAGGCATTCTTGGCACAGTTCTAATTGGTTGAAGATGCCAAAACATTCAGGGGCTGTAATATTTCTGAAGCAGCTCTCACTGCACCCGTGAAATGGATGTTGTCAGGGGTTTCTGTGCTGTAGCCATTTAGTCCCAAAGATACAGAGGTCTACACCAATTATAAACCAATTGGCCTAGTATCTCGGGCTTTTCTTATTAACTTTCTTAATCGTACATTAACCCATTATTCTTACATGTGCTAGCCATGTAGCTCGGTACCTTACTCGGTGAGGCAGCCACATCTTGCTTCCTCTGCTCTGGGTCACGACTGCAGACTGTGCTTTCCTCTTCCCAGCATTCTTGTTGCACCGCCTTTACTTCCTGCCTGGTTGCCCTGCCTATACTTCATGCCTGGCTACTGGTCAATCAGCATTTTATTAAAAATAATACAAGTCACAGGATAAATGACCATTGTCCCACAGCAGGCAGAAGCCACCATCTTGAGTGTAGCCACCCGACTATGGTGGCTGCAGTTGGTGTCATTATTCTGTAGGCTGTCATTTTATCTTGTTGACATGCCCTTTGCTTTACAGATGCTTCTCAGTTTCAGAGGTCCCATTTATTGTTTCCTCTCAGTGTCTGTGCTACTGAGGTTATATTTAGGAAGTAGTCTCCTGTGCCAAAACATTCAAGGCTACTTCCCACTTTCCCTTCTATGAGGTTCAATGTGGTTGGTTTTTTGTTGAGGTCTTTGATCCATTTGAGTTTTGTGCATGGTGATAGATATGAATCTATGTTCATTCTTCTACATGTTGATATCCAGTTATGCCAGCACCATTTGTTGCTTTCTTTTTTCCATTTTTTTTTAAATTTTTAGTTTCTTAGTAAAAAATGAGGTGTTCCTAGGTGTGTGGATTGATATTTGGGACTTTGACTCGATTCCATTGGTCCTTCTGTCTGTTTTTATGCCAATACTAGGCTGCTTTCATTACTGTAGCTTTGTAGTAGAGCTTGAAGTTAGGGGTGGTGATGCCTCCAGAAATTCCTCTATTGTACAGGATTGCTTAGACTATCCAGGTTTTTGTTTTTCCAAATGAAGTTGAATATTGTTCTTTCGAGGTCTGTGAAGAATTTTTTGCTGGGATTTTGATGGGCACTGCAGTGAATCTATAGATTGCTTTTGGTAAGATTGCCATTTTATTGTGTTTATTCTACCTAACCAAGAGCGTGGGAGATCATCCCATTTTCTGATGTCATTTTCAATTTCTTTCTTCATATATTTAAAGTTCTTGTCATACATGTCTTCCACTTGTTTGGTTAGAGTTACTCCAAGATATTTTCTGTTATTTGTGGCTATTGTAAAGGGTGATATTTCTCTAATTTCTTTCTCAGCCTGTTTAATAAAGGAGGGCTTTTTTTTTTTTTAGTTTGTCTGTGTCCTGCTATATTACTGAAGATGTTTATGAGTTGTAGGAGTTCCCTGGTAGAATTTTTGGGGTCATTTATTTAAACTATCATATGATCAGAAAAATTGAGAGTTTTACTACTTTTCTGATTTGTATCCCATTAATCTCCTTTTATTGTCTTATTGCCCTAGCTAGAACCTCAAGTATTATATTGAATAGATATGGAAAGAATGGACAACTTTGTCTTGTTCCTAGTTTCAGTGGGATTGCTTTGACTTTCTCTTTTGTATCATGATATTATTAGAAGCTTATGGGGCCAGGGGATTGTGGTAGTTTGAATGTAATTAGGCCCTCTAATCTGTGGTACTATTAGGAGGTGTGGCTTTGTTGGAGTAGATATGACCTTGCTGGATGATCTGGTGACTGTGGGAGTGAGGTTTGAAGTCTGTTTGAGCTTCACTCAGTGTGACTGTCATTTGACTTCCTGTTGCCTGTAAGATGTAGGATTCTCAGCTATTTTCCCCAGTTCCATGATGGCCTCCCTGCTGCTATGTTTATACTTTGGTCTCAGACATGATCAGTACAGAAAGAAATATTCTTAAGACATAGGAGGTCCCTATGGCGTAAATCTAGCTTTCTTCCGGTGAGTTCATTTTTTAATATTACTATAAACTTATTTCAGATATCTTTGTATTCCAGAATCATCTCTATGTCCCAAGGAACTAATGGAATTTCAAGGCAGCTAGCCTTGACATTTAAGATATTGTCACATAAGAATTTCAGGATGAGAGCAGATGGAAAAAACAGAAGAAACATAAACTCTATTGTAGAGATAAAATTCTACAACAGAAGATGATGGGCCAGGAGTCAGCACACTGGGAGAGGGGGGAGGTGTGGTGGTGGTGATGGTGGTTGTGGACACAAGGAAAGATTCTTCGGTGGAGAATTCTTTTCACATAAACGCCAGAAAGCGGGACTATGATTTTTAAATCATCTTTGTCCCCTGACCCATGAATTACACTGTAGGGATTCCAGTGTTTACACTAAGACATCCCACAGCACCCCACCTCCAGCTGTGGCAGTTTATTTTACTACAGAGAAACAAAGTTGTTTACCACAGTGTGCTTAAACTCAAGGACTCCTTCATCCCAGGCTCCCTAACTCTTTTTGCACTTGGCCCAGGTTAGCCTTTGATTTGGAGTCCTTTTGTCTCCTGAGCAGCCCCGACCACAGAGCAGGCGCAGGAGGGAGGGGGCACACAGGGCTGGTTTCAGAAATCATCTTAAAGAGATGGTGGTCATTTCCATATAGTTTTTTGCTGAGCTATTTTAAAGTAAAATGGAGTCAATGTGAACTTTACACATGGAAGTAAGATTCCATAAGTCGACTTGTAAGTTTTGAATCGCAACATATGACCAGTAGTGAGTTGTAAACCTAATAAGCCTTACTGTCAAAGGCTCGACTCACAAGCAAACATCTGCAGTGAATCCGGGATTTTAAAAACAGCCTGACTCCATGTGGCTGACACATCGCAGGGGCTACTGGCTGCCTTCCCTCCTTACTCTCAGAGGGGAAAGAAAGGAAGGAAACACGCAAACCCGCAGCCTGGGTTCCGGGCGCCAAGGCCGACCCGCGGACTTGTGGGAAATGTAGTCTTCCGCTGTCCCGCTTCGCTGGGAGCCATTGTGGAACGGTCACTTCCGCATTGCGTCTGCAGTAAGCGCGTCTTCTCGCAAAGTTGGGCGATTCTCCGGTCCTGCTTGGCGTTCGGGTTGCGTCTCGGACATGGAGGTTGGTCCAGGGTGCCGCGTACCTCCGCAGGTTGGAGCGATGGTGCGGGGTGGGCGGGTCTGGCTCGGAGGGAGCGGGGAGGGAAGGACCGAGGCTGGGCCTCTGCGTCCGGGTGCCTGGAGGGACTGGGGGGGGGGGGGGCCGGTGGTGCGGGCCGAGGACTTCGGTGAAGGGGGGCGGCGGCTGCTAGCGTCCACCCGGAGCTTCTGTGCTGAGGGCCGGCTCGGTGGGGAAGGAATTGGGAAGTGTGGAAAATGCAGGATTGTTCGGGCAGGGTCGGCTGGGAGCCTGCACCTGGAGGTACTGGTGGGCGCACACATTCCAGATGAGCCACGGTCGCGTTCTGTTACTGACACACGCTTACCCGGCTGTTGTCAGTTTTTTCGGGACGCTGGCAGCAAATGGAGGTCTGGCCCCCTGCAGTATCGGCCTAGTACTGTCAGAGTTGATAGTTTAAAAGTTACTCGTTTCCAAGGAAGGAAAGTTTTGCGAGGGAGATCGACGGATAGGATGTTAATCTCGTTGTCTTTGGGATAGACTGTTAGGAACTGCTGTTTACAATGGAATGCCTTCACGGTCACCACTGTGACCTGACTCCTAAGACTAACACTCCTATGTACAGCCAGAGTAATCCCCTAAAGGGAGAGACTCGTCCTACACTGTAGAGTGGAAAATCCTAGAGAATAATACCTCATCCAGTCCGCCGGGATTATGATGTCATTGGTTTGGACTCCTTTTCGGAACTGCGAGATGAGCTGATGTGGGGTAGGTGTGTATCTGCTGATTGCCAGCAAAGGGACGGAGGTGCCCGACTTTCTCTGGGAAGGAGAAACGGCCCTCATACACAACAGTCTGTGTACTTTGATCTCTAACCACACACGTTTCTTCTGTCCTTGTCTAAACTTTCTGCCACTGACTCTGGTGTCTTGGTTCCATGCTTCTCCGTAAACTTCTGGGAGGATTGGCCAAAGTATTTATACTGTGTCAAAAAGTAAAGAATGAATTTGAAGAATTGTGGTTCACTCAGGCAGGGTCCTGTAGACTCCACACCCTATCTTTTGTGCTGCTTTCTATTTTCTCACACTTCAAAATACCAAGTGTTTATGTGCTAGAGACTGGCTTATGGCACTAAAATATACTCAGATGAAGCATGTCTTAGCCAGGCAGTAGTGGCACATGCCTTTAATCCCAGCCAGCTTCTATGAGGCAGAAGGAGGTGGATCCTTAAGTTTGAGGTGAGCCTGGTCTACAGAGCAATTTCCAGGACAGCCAGGACTACACAGAGAAACCCTGCCACTAAATAAATAAATAAATAAATGAAAAAAGAAACAACAAAAGAAACAAGGTATTTTTTAAACATTTTTTTAAATATTTATTTATTATGTATACAATATTCTGTCTGTATGTCTGCAGGCCAGAAGAGGGCACCAGACCTCATTACAGATGTCTGTACCAACAACCATGTGGTTGCTGGGAATTGAACTCAGGACCTTCGGAAGAGCAGGCAATGCTCTTAACCACTGAGCCATCTCTCCAGCCCTTTAAAACATATTTTATTAAACTTTTTTTCTTTTTACTTTAAGAACGACCATATTTTACCTACCAATTCCTGTTCCCTCTACTTCCTCTCCTCCTCCTCCCTCTGTTTTCTCCCCACCCCAACTTCCATCCACTCCTCAGGGAGGGTGAGGCCTCCCATGGGGAGTCAACAAAGTCTGTCCTATCACTTGAGGCAGGACCAAGGCCCTCTCCCTGTATCTAGGCTGAGAAGATAGCTCTCCATAGGGAATGGGCTCTAAAAATCCAGCTCATGCTAGGGATAAATACTAAACCAAAATAATAAAATGATACTACTGTTTCCATTGCTAGTGGCTGCCCAAACTGCCCAAACCACACAGGTGTCACCCAGATTCAGAGGGCCTAGTTCGGTCTTATGCTGGTTCTCCAGTTGTCAAACCCACTTGGGTCAGCTGTTTCTGTGGGTATCCCCATCATGGTCTTGACCCGTTGCTCATATTATCGCTCCTCCCTCTCTATGACTGGACTCCAGGAGTTCAGTCCAGTGCTTAACTGTGGATCTCTGCATCTGCTTCCATCAGATACTGGATGAATGTTCTATGATGAAAATTAAGGTAGTCATCAATCTGGTTACAGGAGAAGGGCATTTTAGGTCCCTCTCCACTATTGCTTAGATTCTTAGCTGGGGTCATCCTTGTGGATTCCTGGGAATCTCCTCAGTGCCTGGTTTCTTGCTAACCTAATAGTGGCTCCCTCTTTCAAGGTTTCTCTTTCCTTGCTGTCCCTCTCTATCCTTCACCCAACTTGATCTTCCCCATCCCTGATGCTCTCCTTCTCACTCCCCTTCTCCCATCCCCACTTCCCTACCCCCTTCCCTGTCCCCACATGCTGACCATTTACTAAGGAGGTCTTGTCTGCTTCCCCTTCTTGGGAATCCATGTCTGTCTGTCTTGATGAGTTCTCCTTGTTTCCTGTCTTCTCTGGGGTTGTTTACTGTAGGTTGATTATCCTTTGCTTTATGTCTAATATCCACCTATGAGTAAGTACACACCGTGTTTGTCTTTCAGTATCTGGGTTACCTCACTCAGGATGGTTTTTTTTTCTTTTCTATTTCCATCCTTTTGCCTGCAAATTTTAATATGTCGTGTTTTGTTTTGTTTTGTTTTGTTTTTCCACTGAGTAGTGCTCCATTGTGTAAATGTACCACTTTTCTTCATCCATTCTTTGGTTGAGAGGCATCTAGATTGTTTCCATGTTCTGGCTATTAAAATTGATGCTGTTATGAACATAGCTAAACAAATGTTCTTGTGGTATAGGTATGCATCCTTTGGGTATATGCCCAAAAGTAGTATTACTGGATCTTGAGGTAGATTGATTCCCAACTTTCTGAGAGAATGCCATCCTGATTTCCAAAGTGGCTGTAGAAGTTTGTACTCCCCCCAGCAGTGGAGGAGTGTTCCTATTACTCTACATCCTTTCCAGCATAAGCTGTCATTGGTGTTTTAGATTTTAGCCAATCTGACTGGTGTAAGATGAAATCTCAGAGTTGTTTTGATTTGCGTTTCCCTGATGGCTAAGAATGCTGAGCAGTTCCCTAAGTGCCTTTTGGCCATTTGAGAATCCTTTGTTGAGAATTCTGTTTAGATCTATACCTCATTTTTTAATTGGATAATTTGAATTTGATATTTTGACATCTAGTGTCTTGAGTTCTTTGTATATTAGAGATCAGTACTCTGTCAGATGTGGGGTTGTTGAAGATTTTTCCTATTCTGTAGGTTGCCATTTTGTCTTGTTGATGGTGTTGGGATCGTGTCCTTTGCCTTACAGAGCTTCTCAGTTTCAAGAGGTCCCATTTATGAGTTGTTGATCCCATTGTCTGTGCTGCTGGGGTTATATTTAGGAAGTGGTCTCCTGTGCCAATGCATTCAAAGCTACTTTTCACTTTTTCTTCTATGAGGTTCAGTTGGCTGGATTTATGTTGAAGTCTTTGATCCATTTGGACTTGAGTTTTTGCTGGGGATGAATATGGATCTATTTGCATTGTTCTACATTTTGACATCTTGTTATGCCAGCACCATTTGTTGACGATGCTTTCTTTTTTTTCATTGTATAATGTTAGCTTCTTTGTCAAAGATCAGGTGTTCATAGGTCTGTGAATTTATGTCAGTGTCCTTTTCCTTACAGGTCCTTCTCTTTGTATTCTTATGTTTGTATAAATGATGGCATGAGGGGAAGAGTTATGAGGAGTTGCTCATTTTGGAAACAGTTGTGTTAGATGTGTCGTGCTTGGAAAACTGAAAAGGGAAAGTTTGCAGGATGATGACATTCATTTCTGGTGATGTATGTGACATATGTTGGAGACTATGAAGAGAAGATACAGAAGTTATTTATGTAGATTTGAATAGGAGCCAAATATATGCAAGGAATGAAAATGAGAAGCACAGATTTTCAACATTTTCTCTTTTGAGTTTATAAATATTTCTGTCCTTGAGTCCATCCATGGTTGTTTTCAAATGCAGTGACATATTTTGAGTTGAAAAGTAAAGGTACGTGTCACATGTCTGGCAAAATACATGCAATTATTATCTTCTTTGAATTAGCTACATAAAATAAATCAGATGAAGGATAGTATGAACCCCTAACTGTTTTCAGGATGGATTGCACTTAGTATTTCATTAGAAACAAGGAGTAACAATGTTCTGAATATTTAAAGTTATTCTTACATTTGCACATTGAACATACATAATAAAGCATGTGGTACTTCTTTAGAAACTTGCATGTTGTCTAAATATGCATTCCATGTTCCAAATAAAGGCATTAGCTATGGTCTTCCATACTATTTTCAGTGTTCCAAATATACACTCTGAGTCATAGTATTGCAAAATGTGTTAAGTGAAAACAAGAATTAATGATAGCTGCATGTCAGATGTGTGGGAGTCACGAGCTGCCCGGAGACCTGTGGGTTGGCTCCTTTATCGCACTCCTGGTGTGTTCTCTATAATCCATAAACATTCTGTGTCCAAAAATGAAATCACTAGTAGCTAAAAGTTAATTGGGAGTCCAGCCCTTGCTTTACATATAGCTTTGACTTCCCCATGCTCTTGGTACTAAAGATTGTTATGTTTCTATGTCTGAATATCTCTGAGGGACACACATGATATGCAAGAGTTCTTAATCACTTCTGCCTGCTCATTCTGCTGATCTAGACTTGTGTCTAGGACCAGCCTCCATTCAAAAGAAGGAAAACAACTTCACCTCTGGCTGGTGGCCATCTCATAGGTAAAGAATAGTGGAGGATGAGCCTATTACCTCTTATAGAGATGCTTTCAACAGTCTCATTTTCTTTTCTTAAGAAATGACTGGGTCAGGTGGCACACACTGTAGTGATATTTTGTTTGTGATCTTAACAAATGAAACTTGCCTGAAGATCAGAGTGCAGAGCTAAGCCACTAGTTAGCCATAGAGGTCAGGCAGTGGTGGCACACACCTTTAATCCCAGCACACGGGAGACAGGCAGAGACAGACAGATCTCTATGAGTCATGGTCACACTGGGCTACATGAGATTGAATTTGTCTAAAAGAGAAACACACACAGGTGATCCCAGCACTTGGGATCCTACACTCAGCACTAGGGACGTGGAGACAGGAGTGATATGGCTGTGCAGAGAGAGGAATAATATGCGGCAGGAGAAGACAGGAGCTAAGATGCAGTCTGAGGATTCATAGGGACAGAATCACCCCTTTGGTCTGAGGATTCAGTGGTGCTTAAGAGCTAGTGGCTGGATGCTCCACTTCTCTGATCTTTCAGCATTAGCTCATATCTGACTCTGGGTTTTTATTACTGAAACCAAAATAGAATTCATGTTACGATACACCTTTAATCCCAGTGCTTGGGAGGCAGAAGCAGGCAGATATCTGAGTTTAAAGCCAGACTCATCTACAGAACAAGTTCCAGAACACCCATCCAGAACTACATAGTGAGATCTTGTCTCAAATAAATAAATAAATAATGAAAATTAAAAAAATGAAGATGCAGAAAAAAGATAAACAAAAGGACTTTTTTCAGTTAGCCATCTGCCATCATTCTGCTGTAATTTAGGAATCTGTTGTCCTCCTCTTTGCTGTTTCCCTCTGCTGTTTGGGTAGAAAACCTTTTCCCATTTATAGATATCTCTTCACTGACTCTGGGACAGTCCTGTTGCTCTGTGGCCTTCTCCACTCTGCAGATGGTGAGGGAGCAGCTCGGAAGCTTTGTTTATAAATTCATGCCTGTTCTTTCCCACCCACCATGTGTGAAATATCATCCCTCAGCTTCCCCGGCTACGGTCTGCTAAGTTATTAGTGAGGACTTTAAGAAATGCCTTCTGGGTGAGGAGCCACTGTCCTGTTCCTTTCAGAATTCTTGTTTCCACCACTTGCTTTGCCTTCTGTGACTCTCTTTAGTGTTATCTAGACTGGAGATTGGGGAAAGTCTTAGTTGGTGTCCATCACTTATCTCAAATAATGTAAGACTTCATTTCTTAATAAAATTATTTTTCTCTTAATTTTTGGTTTTTTGGTTTTTTATGAGGAACATTGTCACATATCACAGGCTAGCCATGAGCTCTCTATGCAGATAAGGCTGGTCTTGAACACATAGACCATTCAAGAACTGAGATTACACACATGTGACATCATTCTGGTTTCCTTGTTTTTCTTTATTCTGTGTGTAGTGTTCCATAATCCTTGACACTCTCTCCAGGTTGGTTTTTGGTTTTTTTCTGTCTGTCTTTTCTTTTAATTTTCTCCTTGAGTCAGTATTGTATGTTTGGGACCAAATGCAGTCCTGTGCCCAAGCAAGAGGGGAATTCAAGAACAGTTGTTCCATGGTACCGTGGAACATTAGATTGACATTAGACTGGGCTCCAGGTGCTTTCACTTGGTGAGTCACCCCACAGGCCTTCAGTGTTCTGATGTCTTTCTTCATGCTCAGACTTCTGGCAGCATCCTGTTTGCTGCGACTTCCGTCTTCCAGACCCTTCCTAGTGTTCTCTCCCTACTGTTTGCCACTCACTATGGCACTTTCAGCTCCATCCTCGTGCTTTTCATATTTTATTGCATGGCTGAGTTCCTATTTTTTATATATGCTGATTTTATCTACCTGTTTAATTGTCTGAATTGGTTAGATCGTTAACACAGGTAGGGTGTTAACGGCAACTTTGGATTGTTTTGTTTTTCTTTTATCTGGTTCGTGTTTCTAATTTGAATACTTTATAACGCTTATTAAGATTTGGTTTTTGGGAATACCAGTGACTACTCATTTTGAGCTTGAATTTATAGTACCTTCAAATGTGTTATAAGAAATTGAATGCCTTTCTACTCTTAACAACCTGAGAAAGGAACCAGGAAATTGGAGGCTGATCTCCAAACCATGCCTTGCTGGTCCACATGAGTAGTGTGTGGCAAGGAGAACAAGATGGCTTTTCCTAAACAACAATAAAGTTGGCTTCATATATGGAATCCATACAGTAAAGGGAAATGATTGACAGAGTTGTCAAATAAAATTGTAAAGTGAAGGTCAGAAGAAATCACAAGTGGAAATAATCCAGGAACCAATAACTATCTCATTCTTGTCCTTAAATGCACATATCAGTGGTATCATCAAAATGAGCATAAGTCCCACCCTCATATGATGCATACTGTCCACAGTTGCCAGAGCTGCACATACTTCTGCATGCTTTTCTGAGCTTACTTCTTGCTTTTACCAATGCTGCAGCAAGTGCAAATATTATTTTACTGCGTTTATTTTCCTGACTATTTAATAGTTTCCTTTGCTCATTTCAGTAACAAAGCTGATTTTAATATTGTTTCAGCATGACTATTTGAATTTTACTTTATGTTCCCTTTCCTATGGTTTTGTGCTCACCCAATCATGACTGAAAGCTAACTTCTACAATTTACTTGATTTTTGACAGTGAAATTGTGGTTCACGTGTTTACAGTATGAAACTGTTCAGTCACACAAAACAATGAAATCCTGTAATTTGGGTCAATATGGAAGAGCCTGAAAATTATTATTTCATATACAGAAAGACAAGTACCACATGATCTCAGACATAGGTTGAGTTTCCAGGATTTTAACTTACAGACGTTGGAGAAATAAGTTTGAAAAAACATTACTCATCAGTTGGTGACATCGGGAAAGGTAGGCATTGGGGGAAACATTATACAGTTGGATAGAAGGAAGAAGCTTATGGTAAATGTTGCCCCTAATGATGACTGTCAGTAATCATTTTGTAATATTTATATTACAGAAGGTTGGAAAACAGAATTTTTTGTTTTGTTTTGTTCTGCTTTATGAGTCATGGTCTCTCTAGATAGCCCTGGCATCCCTGGAACTCAGAGATCCACCTGCCTCTGCCTCTTAAGTGCTGGGATTAAAGACGCACACTACCACACCAAGTCTAAGGACTTTGGACATTTTAAACTTAAAAATTAGGTGTCTGAGGAAATGAGTACTCCAAAACTGATGGAAAGACATTGCAGGGTCTACCTGTAACAGTAGCACAGCACACCCTGGCTAACGTGCAAGTCTCTGATTTTTCTATTATTTAGCCACAGAAAGAAAAATAATGTACTGCTATCATTAACCATTTGAGAACTTTATGTAATGAGATAAAAAGCAACACAACACTAAAAAAAAAAATCAAAAGTGAGGGAAAATAGTAATTAGAATCACAAGTTACAATTCTTGAACTCAGTCAGTAGTCTAAGCTAAAGTTGCCATGAGTTCAAAGGCTTGTATGACTATAGTAAATACATGAATATGTCTAATAAAGATAGACACAGAAAGCAGGCAAAGGAAAAATGAAAGAATGTAGTGATACCTGATTATTTTAAATATTAAAAAAGTGATGTTGTTGCTACACTTCCTAAGAATGTATTTATAAGCACAGGATGCCTGTTGGTATCTGTTATTGATTTTAATTAATATAATCTATTATTTATCTTTATTTCAGAAAATGGTGTCATTCAGTGATGTGGCAATTGATTTCTCTGCAGAGGAGTGGGAATGCCTGGGCCCTGCTCAGTGGAATCTGTACAGGGATGTGATGTTGGAGAATTACAGCAACCTGGTGTTTTTGGGTGAGGAGTGCATCTATAGTGAATTCTTTTTGTGTATATGTGTGGGGTTTTTGTTCTTGTTGGTTATTTTTGTTTGTTTGTTGTTTTTTTTGAGCCAGGGTCTCTGTATGTAGTCCTTGCTTCCTGTAACTCTTGTATAGACCAGACTGGCCTCAAACTCAGATCTCCTGCCTCTGCCTCCCAAATGCTGGTATTCATTGCTACCATGCCTGGCTCATAGTGAGTTCTTAATTCAAGGTCAACATTAAATTTCTTTTATAAAAGCATCTCATGGGAGCTTGTAGTTTCCGACAATGAGGGTCTTGGACCTGCGTGTAGGGAAGGATTGAGGAGATTGTTAATGTAACTAAGACAATTTCTTTTTTAATTCTTTTTGTTTTTTTAATGTGGCTGTTTCTTAGAAGTATTCTTTACTCTAGTGGTAATGCTAGAAAGTCACAGACATGAGGCATACCTTTAAGTTTTAGCTTTTTTATTTTTATTGATTTCTGGGGGTGGGGGACAGTGAATTTAATCTGGGTATATTCTTTTTCCCCCTAAGGACACAATCCTGAAATAGACATGTTATTTCCCAGGTGAATAACACACCAACCGTCTTGATCCCTTTTCCCACAAACAGGTCTTGCCTTCTCTAAGCCATACCTGGTCACATTTCTAGAGCAAAGTCAAGAGCCTTCAGATGTGAAGACACAAGAAGCTGCCACCATGCACCCAGGTTTGTAGAATGAGGGGACAGAGGACAGAGTGAATTTTCTAGCATAAAGCCAGACTTTACCATATGCACTGAGATGTTATATTGTGATGGAAATCAATTTCTAGATACCCCGTTCATCCATTCACATGATTTAATTGTCTGAGCTTTGTCCTCTGCCTCCCAAGAGCTCTGCTTATGTTTACAGTGATGAAGTTTGTCATTTTGCTGAGAGTCTGCATTGCAGCAGACTTTTAACTGTGCCCTATACCTATGAAGATTTGCACGTTTAAAAACAAGTGAAGCCATTATAATACAATATAATAACAAATTTCTTTTACATCCCATGCATGTTTGCTAATTTATATCTTTTCATAATTGCTGTGAATAAGTATTAATGTATCTTCATAAAGTTTTTTTTTTTTCTCATGCACTCAAGTGTTACTGATTTGAAATGCATGCCCTTTCTGGGTATGTTTTCGTAGATTAAAACCTTCCATGTCTAGAAGAATGTTTGTAGTAGCTTATCAGCTACTTTTTAGAGTTCAGTGGGCTCAGGGTTCTCTTTTTGTTATTTTACAACTTTGTTTCTATATTATTGGAGTCTAGGTTATCTAAAATCACTTGTTTACATGTAAGCTTATGTTTTTGTGAATGAAGTCCACAATGCAAAACACTTGGGACAGTGTGCGATTAAAAATAATCAATGAGCACTGGTTCCGGGAATATCAGAATTGTGTGTTTTCACTTTCTGTGTACACACGAGTCTCGTGTTTTTATGCCTTGTACATCATCTCCTGACTAGTAAAAGACTCTGTTATCTTGTAAATGAATATTCTTTGAAATTGAGGTAATTTTATCATTTAATCTTTGACTCATATGAGCCTCTAGCAGGTTCTATCATTACAGGTGAACTTGAGGGGTTTTTTTTCTTTTCATAATTTGATTCTTTCAGATATTTATTAACTCCCTGAAATATCATACTTAGTATTATAGAGAATCTAACTGTTACACAATATATATTGTGTGCCTTCCAAATGACACCTGTATTTAGAATATAAATTGTGTATTCTACATTCTTCCAACCTCATACAATCACCATTGTTCTAATGTTTTCCACGTTTACCTATTTCTGGTTTTCATCTATGTCTGGTCATATAATTTATATATTTTTAATGGGCTCATTTCTGTTAACACAGTGCACTTAAGAGTTCCTATTATTAATAATAGTACATCTTCTTTTGTTCTTTAACTGTTAATAATATTCAATTATTTCTGTATTCTATTTGGTCTTCCTCTTATTTCAGTGGAAGTTTATATTGTTTCCACTCATTGCATTTTCTAAATTACACCGCAGTGAATATAGGTGTGGAAATTTGTAATTTCTCATTTACCAATAAAAAATAAGTAAAGGTCTCCATATTAAAGGTAAACATTATAAATATAAGAATGTTACTCAGTTTTTATTCATATCTCAACTTTTACTTAACAGATATAAAACCATATAAATGTAAAGAATGTGGCAAAGCTTGTGACTGGAACTCACTTCTTCTTGAATACCAGAGAATTCATCCAGCTGAGAAAGCCTACACATGTGAAGAATGTGGAAAGGCTTCTGGTTCTTCTCCACCACTTTCTGAACACCACATAATTGATCCAGAAGAGAAAGCCTACAAGTGTGAAGAATGTGGCAACATCGTTTGTACTTGCTCAGGACATTCTAGCTACCAGAGAATTTGCATTGGGGAGAACCCTTACAAGTGTGAAGAATGTGGGAAAGCCTTTTCTACTCATTCATGTCTTACTCAACATGAGTTACAACATACTGGACAGAAATCCTGTAACTATGAAGAATGTGAGAAGCTGTTTTATTATCCATCTTACCTCACAGAACATCAAAGGATTCATTCTCAAGAGAATCCCTTGAAGATTGAAGTATGTAGCGAGGTCTTTTGTTCACCCATAGAACTTTCTAAAGACCAGACATTTTGTACTGAAGAGAAACCCTACAAGTATGAAGACTGTATTAAGACCTTTAGTGCTTGCACAGTGCTTTCTGAACATCCAAGAATTCATCCAGGAGAGAAAGCCTACAAGTGTGAAGAATGTGGCAATGCCTTTTGTGAACTCCATTCAGTATCTAAACACCTGAAAATTCATTGTGAAGTGAAATCCTACAAGTGTGACGAATGTGGGAAAGCCTTCCCTAGTCATCTTTCTCTGATTCAGCATAAGATAGGGCATACTAGAGAGAAGCCTTACCAATGTGAAGAATGTGGCAAAATGTTTTACTGTTCTTCAAACCTTAAACAACATCAAATAACTCATTCTCAAGAGAAACCCTACAAGTGTGAAATATGTGGCAAGGTCTTTAGAACTTGCTGGCAACTTTCTAAACACCTGAGAATCCATTCTGGAGAGAAACCTTACAAGTGTGAGGAATGTGGCAAAGCCTTTTATACTCTCTCATACCTTACTCAGCACAAATTAGGTCATACCGGGGAGAAACCTTACAAGTGTGAGGAATGTGGCAAAACATTTTACTATCCTTCAGTCCTTAAGGAACACCAAGCAATTCATTCTGGAGAGAAACCATACAGGTGTGAAGAATGTGGCAAGGACTTCTGTACTCGTTCAGGACGTTCTAGACACCAGCGAATTCATACTGGAGAGAAACCCTACAAGTGTGAGCAATGTGGAAAGGCCTTTTCTACTCATTCATACCTTTCTCATCACAAGATAGTTCACACTGGCCATAAACCCTACAAGTGTGAAGAATGTGGCAAAAAGTTTTACTACCCTTCTCGCCTTAAGGAACATCAAAGAATTCATTCTCAAGAGAATCCTTACAAGTGTGAAATATGTGGTAAAGCCTTTTATACTCACTCATACTTTACTCAGCACAAATTAGGTCATACCGGGGAGAAACCTTACAAGTGTGAGGAATGTGGCAAAACCTTTTACTATCCTTCAATCCTTAGGGAACACCAAGCAATTCATTCTGGAAAGAAACCATACAGGTGTGAAGAATGCGGCAAGGACTTCTGTACTCGCTCAGGACGTTCTAGACACCAAAGAATTCATACTGGAGAGAAACCCCACAAGTGTGAAGAATGTGGGAAAGTCTTTTCTACTCATTCATACCTTTCTCAGCACAAGGTAGTCCACTCTGGAGAGAAACCTTACAAGTGTGAAGAATGTGGCAAAAAGTTCTACTATCCTTCTCGCCTTAAGGAACATCAAAGAATTCATTCTCAAGAGAATCCTTACAAGTGTGAAATATGTGGCAATGTCTTTTGTACCCCCAAAGGACTTTCTAAACACCAGAGATTTCATACTGGAGAGAAACCCTACAAGTGTGAAGAATGTGGGAAAATGTTTTACTACCCTTCTCGCCTTAAGGAACATCAAAGAATTCATTCTCAAGAGAATCCTTACAAGTGTGAAATATGTGGCAAAGCCTTTTATACTCTCTCATACCTTACTCAGCACAAATTAGGTCATACCGGGGAGAAACCTTACAAGTGTGAGGAATGTGGCAAAACCTTTTACTATCCTTCAATCCTTAGGGAACACCAAGCAATTCATTCTGGAAAGAAACCATACAGGTGTGAAGAATGTGGCAAGGACTTCTGTACTCGCTCAGGACGTTCTAGACACCAGCGAATTCATACTGGAGAGAAACCCTACAAGTGTGAGCAATGTGGAAAGGCCTTTTCTACTCATTCATACCTTTCTCAACACAAGGTAGTTCACTCTGGAGAGAAACCCTACAAGTGTGAAGAATGTGGCAAAATGTTTTACTACCCTTCTCGCCTTAAGGAACATCAAAGAATTCATTCTCAAGAAAATGCCTACAAGTGTGAAGTATGTGGCAAAGTCTTTAGTGCTCACTTAGAACTTGCTACACACCTGAGTATTCATTCTGGATAAACCCTGCAGGTGTGAAGGATGTGGAAAAGCTTTTAACTTATCCATCCTCATCTCAGGTCATATTCCTGGAGAGAAATCTTACCAATGTCAGAAATGTGGTAAAATATTTTCTATCCTTAACCTTAAGCAACACCAACTAACTCGTCCTGGATGGAAATCACACAAGTGTGAGGACTGGAGGAAGGCCTTTTGTACTCACTTGGAACTTCTAAGCGTCAAAAAAGTCATACTGGTGAAAAAGACCACAAATGTGTAAAACTTTCCACTAAACTGTGTAACCTTGCCCAGCACAAGGTAGTCCATTCTATTCAGAAACACTATTCATGGGAAAATGCTGGATTTTTTTTTTACTGTTTAATCCTTAAAAAAAATCAGTTTATTATCAAGGGATACCCTACAAGTATGAGGGATATGTCAAAGCCTTTGCTTATCATTCAGACCATAAGAAACTCAAATGAATCCATAATAGAAATCAAACCCTAGTGAAGAAAGTAGCAAGTACTTTACTATTGATTCAACACTTCCTAACCTCCATAAAATTTATAATGGGGAGAAACACTACAAATGTGAACGAATTGACACGGCTTTTAAAGGCACTTCATTAGTTAACAAAAGTGTCGGAACTGAAGAGCAGCCTCACAACAGCAAAGCATATGATGAAGGTTTCATTTGTCATTCAGCCCTTGCTGAACATGAGAGAATTCACACTTGGGAGAATCTCTACAAATGTGCAGAATATACCTAGGTGTTTAGCTGTAATTTGTCATTGCGTAAGCATGAAAGAATTAGTCCTCCAGAAATGTAAAGAATGTGACAAGGCCATTAGGTGGTTTTCATACTTTAGTTATCCTCAGAGACTTCATACTGGAGAGAAGCTACACATAAAAATAATGTCAAACTCTTTAATCATATTTCAAATCTCAGTCAACACCAAAGAATTCAGTAACCTTCACTGTTAAACTTCACACCTCTGCATTTTCTAAGGGAGTCTCAGCTATGTGGTTGCCTCGATCTGACTGGCTTACAATGTGTCTGTGGAACCTTGGATGCTGATTAATGCTCAGTCCCACCCTGGGCAGGTGGTCCTGTGAAAATGAAAATTCTGGCCACACAGAAATCTGAGGGAACAACAAGTCAGTAAGCAGAATTCCTTAATGGTTTCTACTTTAGTTCCTGCGTGAAGGTTTCTCCCTTGACCTCTTGCCCTGGCTGAACTGGCTGACCAATTCCTAAACTGGAGTAATCCGTTTCCTCTCCTAAGTTGTGTTTTAGTCATGGCATTTATCACAGCAACAGACATCAGACAGCAATGGACATGAAAATGCTTTTCAGTTTCTTTATACCTTAGTTATCATCAGTCTTCATACTGGAGAGAATGTCACAGTATCTTTGAGTGAAGAATCAAACCCCGAACCTCAGCTAAGAATATCTGAATCCTATAGCAGAGACTTCCCTTTACTGTAATCTACAAACCTATTCTTTGAGACAATGTGTTTTCAAGGTGCATCAATTAATTATTCTGTTAACTATAAATGGTTCCAGAAATTGCTGCCATGTTGTCGAACTGTACTTGGGTAACCTGAATCTGGATTCCTGAGCCATGATCTATATGGCAGATTCCCCTGGAGTCCCCCAATTGTATGTAACCCTTCCCCTTTGGTCTATAAGAAAACCCAATAAATTCATTTTTCTCATCAATTTGGGCTGGTGGTAAAATCCTAGGATGGTTTGTTGTTGGGTCCCTTTGTGGTGACTAGGCAGTTGTTTTTGTCTAGAGATAGCTAACATAACACATGTCATTCATATATGGCTACAAAATAAACAATGTCTCATTCCGTTTCATGTGATAACTGTGGTTTTTGTACAACAACACAGTCTCCGTTTTCATGGAAATAGAACCATATTGAAACAGGGTCACAAGCCACATACACTAATTTAGCAGATGGGATGAATTTGGTTATTGGCTACATCTTCAAGTATTAATCATGGTAATTTCAGTTCTTAATTGATTTTATATCTATCTAAAAAGGCATATAAAAATTTCATTTACTTAAAAGAAGCAAGACTGAATTCATAGCAACATGATTTACATTTGTTCCTTTAATCTTACTATCCTTTTTTTTATTTGAGCTATTATTAGTCTTTATGGGAAAAATAGATAATCACAATCTTTGCCATCTCATTCTGATCACAGGTGGCATTTTCTATCTTGGATCATTTTAAAAGCTGTTTTCTCATGTTATAATTGTCAGAGGAAGCAGTTGTATTCAGTTTCACAAGAGAATCTTGACAGACTGACTCCCTAAGTTACAACAGGACTAGAAAAAACTGCACTGAAGACACACCAGGACTCTTTGAAAAGAGGAAATACTGAGTCACATCTTAGCCACAGAACAAGAACTAGTAGGGGATATAGGAGAGTTAATTTGTTCTTTTTTTTTTTTTTAAATTTTTCTTTTATTGAGAAAAGAAGAAAACAACAACATAAACAAAAAAGTTTCCACCTCCTCCCAGCCTCCCATTTCCCTCCCCCTCCTCCCTCCCTTCTCCCCCTCTCCCCACTCCTCTCCCCCTCCCTCCAGTCCACAGAGCAGTCCGGGTTCCCTGCCCTGTGGTAAGTCCTAGGTCATCCCCCCTCCGTCCATATCTAGGAAGGTGAACATCCAAACTGGCTAGGCTCCCACAAAGCCAGCACATTAAGTAGGATCAAAACCCCGTGCCATTGTCC